CCTGACCTCAATCCTATTGAGTACCTTTGGAGCATCCTCAAGCAAAAGATCTATGAGGGTGGGAGGCAGTTTACATCCAAACAGAAGCTCTGGGAGGCTATGATGACATCTTGCAAACAAATTCAAGCAGAAACTGTCCAAAAGCTCACAAGTTCAATGGATGCAAGACTTGTGAAGCTGCTATCAAATAAGGGGTCCTATGTTAAAATGTAACTTGACTTGTTAAAATGTTTAAAAAGTTAAAATGTTATAAGTTTGATTGAAATAGCCTTTTATTTCAGTAAATATGCTGCAAATACAACAGATGACAATTTTCAGTTCTTTACAACCTATAAAGTGTTTTGAAACTTACTGTGCGTAATAATTTGGAACAGTGCATTGTAAGTTTTTTATGTTTAAAAAAAAAATACTGTTATCATTAGGAGGTTTGTTCAATAACATTTGAATTGTACTCTTGATAGTTAATAACATGAGAATTATGCTGACTGTTATTTACATCAATTATTTAGGTGAATGAGAAAAATATAATTTGCATAATAATTTGGAACAGGGTGTATAGTAAATGAAATAATTTGTTGTGGACTCTCATCTTGAAAGGTGTAAATGTAATAGGAATGTGAAAGATATGTGTCCTATTTAAATCATGGTGGCATGTGTATTTGTACATGGAAGTGATAACTGGCAAACTGGTGCCAGTGTTATGTGATGTTGTGTAATAAAGAAGATATAGATTAACATGTGTACTGTATCATCTCACTTTGATAAAATAAAAAGTTTAGTTACAAGTTATGCTTTTTTTATTTTTATAAACCTGTCCCATAGTCAATGTAGTTACATTTTGTCAGATTCTATTCTATCCCAACCACAAAATAGTTGCTAATATTATATATTAAGGAATGCTGTTATGAGATTAACCCCCTTATGGCCAGTTATTGGCCCTGGTGTTGAACCATTGTCAAGTAATACATGGAGGAGTCAGCACACAGTAGAATGTACCCCTTACAGCACCACTATTAACTCAGAAGCCCACTGAAGATAGACAGTACTCAGTGAGGAGTGAGGCCATAATGCCTAAAGTTAAAAATCCAGGCAAAGGAATAAAATTCATAATCTAATAAACAAGGTCAAGAAACGGTGCAAGGGTTGGTCTGTGCAGCAACTAAATCCATAGTCCAAAAAAGTTCAACAAAATCCAATTAACTACGTAACCTATTGCTTCTTAGATATAAGATGCTTGAGCACCTGTAGGAAGACCTGAAGGGCATGTATAGGGAAAATGTCCCCCAATTGTGAACTGATGATTCTACGTCATCTGTTTGCACAGCTTCCACCAATACAGAAACCACATCTTTGGTAACTTTTGTCAATGCTGCTTCTGCTTCATCTGAGGAGGTTTGTGGCCACACTTGATGCTGTTCATCATTAAGGGATGCTCGGTGAGGGGATAAACACTCTGTATCATCTGAAGGAACCTGTGACCCATCATGGTGGCACTAGTAACTATGCGTGACCTGCATGGGTGGATGATGTAATCCCTCAACAGATCGGGTGAGTTGCGTTTACAGGTTGGTTTGCACTTGGTAGTTTTGAAACTTTTTCTTAAACTACTCTAGATTTAAAAAAGTTCTATGTGTCTAATTTTGTCACTTAGGATATGCAGAAGACAAATGAGCATGTGAATTGTGCCAAGTTATTTTTAAATCTTGGAGAGTCTAAAAAGCAATTACTTTCTCTTGCGCCAGCTGCCAATTCTGACATGTTAGGCAGAGCAGAACCTTTATGTTACTAGGATACATTTTAAAATATCACCCCAACATTACCCTTATCTTCTTCATGATAGAGTCTCAGATATAACTTTTGGCAGAGTCTGTGGGAAAGTAGCAGTTCCTAAACAGATACACATTTTCATTTGTATGTGCGATGACAGATGTTGAACCAGATGTCTGTGGTTATTCTGGAGAGATTTCTCTTTCTTTTTTTGGTCTCCCTAAAACCATTCTCAGTATTCTCTGGCACCCTGTTTTTTTGTTGTCCCTAAATTTAAAGCATAATCCAGACGTGGACCTCTTGCTAACGGTGCCTGAAAGGGTATCGGCTATACCTCACTGACAAGGCCTAACAAGGACAAAACGATCATCTGTGGTTACTGTATCTCTAGTGCATACACAGCCGGCCTGCATTTCGGTTCTGGACTAATTTTTTAGGTGGTATCAGTCTGATATGCAAATGGCCTAAGTTCTCTTTGTAATTGCACAAGATGAGCTAAAACCAGCTAGAGAACTGAGCGGGGACTCACCAAAGTGTAAGCTACTTAAGCTGTTGTCCGTTATCAGTGTTCTCTTTTGCTCTGTGTGTTGCAGGTTTTTTTTGTTTTTTTTTTCTTAAGTATTTAAGTATTTATGAATGCTTTCAATGAGCAACGTTATTTTAGGAAATAGTAATTTGTTTTAGAACAAATTCTCCAAAGACAAAAGGCAAAGTTTGCATGTTATATATATTTATCTATGTTTCAACTGTAGTTCAACAAAGAACAGATGGAAGCACATTTAGAGGAAGGAAATGTCTGTGAGAGGTCACACTGTGAGATGGAAGTAGGAATGCTGGGAAAATGCTCATTTACGCATAGGTGGCAGATTCTGGGAAATCTCCTGCTAGGAGATGTAGACACATATTCCTAGAATTTACAAATATCAACAATGTACATGTGAAAATGCAACATGTGAAAAAAGGTATAAGATTACTTACATATATGTTTTGTCTTAAATTTTGATAGACATTAGGTCACTTAAGCCTGTGATAATATGACAATCACATTAATGGATTCTGTTACACCAGGGCTCGGCAAATCACAGTCGCCAGGTCAAAATGGCAACCAGGAAATTTGTTCTGGCGCCTTGGATTTATCAGCCTGTTCAACCCCTGATGTGATAGGGTGCCTGAGATTAGAGGTGGGCAGACGGCCCACGCAGGGCTGAGGCAGGCAGGCAAGCGGACAGTCAGCTCATTGAGAGCTGAGGGAGGCAGGCGGCTGAATGAGGGAGTGCCTGAATGAGAGGGGCAGGCCGCGGCTGAATGATGGAGGTCACATGATGTAATTCCAGCCCTGCATCACTAAACGGCGCTCTAGGAAGCAGAGCAGGAAGATTCCAGAAGCCCCACTGGACCCCAGGGTAAGCTAATCCACTCCTGCTCTGTGTATGTGTTTCTGTCAGTGAATGTGTGTATCAAATCAGTGTGTGTGTCAGTCTGTCAGTGAGTGTGTATGTTTAGGTGACCTACCCCCATCCAATGACATGGAAAAGGTGTTTTTACTCACTCTTTTTCAACGACACCGTACGGAGAGACAACTTAAGCAAGATAATACCACCAGGTGCAAATACTCTCAGGCACTCCCTCAAGTACCCAAACAACTATATTGACCACAAAAAGAGATTGCACACTATAATCACTTGTAAGAAATATATACATGCATTTATTTAACCAGAAAAGGTTTACACACAATAAATAGGCAAAATAAATCAACAATAATAATTACCAAAGTTCCACAAGCCTACTGGGACAGAAACACGAGCCACCAATACCCTCAATGTTTTAGCACCTACTGGCTGCCTTTTTCAAGGGTGTTTGTATCACAGCTTACCTGTGTCTACGTATATTTCCCCCATACAGTTGATGGCCATCAACAATCACACAGAACCGACCTCAGAAGTGATGTAATCACTTCAGGTATCGGTCTGCAAACACACAGTCCACTAAACATATAAACAGGAGTATACCTATAACTGCAGTATTATACATAGACATACAAATTAGAATAAAGAGATATTCAGGGATAGAGCTTTTCCAGTTTGCACTGAAAGGGAAGACGTTTCTCTGGTCTTTTCCATTCGGATGTCACTGTCACCTTAATGGTTGTATGGAGTGGGAAAGACAGCTTTTGCTTGTGCAGATCAGCAAAATGCTTATCTGATCTCTCCATCATGTGTGTATCATCAGAAATTTCTAGTGTCTTTCTTACCATTAGAATTAGTTTCTCCACTAATTTGGAGTTCAGAAAGAATTTCACATTCACTCTCACAGGAATCTACCTGGTGCAATATCTCAAATTCTCCAGAGGGTCCAATATATCTCAATCGGATGAGTTAGTGGAGTCCAGTCTTTGTCTGGGTCTCTTCTCAACCTGCTGTCTTACCTCAATAGCGGAAAAGATGCCTTGAGCGACCTCCTTTCTTATCCAAGCCAGTATGTCTGGAGATTGGGTCGGTATAGTGGAGGAAGAAGCGGCAATCTTTTGTAAACAATCCATACAAAACCGTTTCCCCTCTACCACCTTTCCTTCACAGCCAGAACAGGGGGTAGCTTTCTCCCTTCTTTTTCTGGGAGGAGATGATATGATACGTTCCTCATTGCTGGAAAGTAATTGGAGAATAGTCTCAGATATTACGTAAACATGAGATGAAATTAAACAAAAAAGTACCTTCATACATACCTATACCATTATGGGCTAAAAAAGGAAGTAAATAGATACATTCTAGGACTAGCATGGGGCAGCTACCAGGGACCCAGGTAAACACACATGGGCCGTGGAAACAGAATGCAGGTATGTATAGGAATCTTCTGAAGGAGAGGAAGTCCCAGAGATCCAAGGTAAGTTAATCTTTAAAGTAACAGGTCCAGTACTCTATACAAGAATTACTTAAAAATATATCATGGTAAAATAAACAAACCTAAAACTGAAAGAAAGAAATAGTACTTATCTTTGTAGGGAGCTCCCAGCTACCTTCCTAAGCGCTGTAGGACAGGAAAAAGACTGGGGATCCTAGGAAGGGGTCCTCCTTTAAAGGGGGTGTAGCTAACCCATGATGTATTTGCTGCCATGATTAGCCAGGAAATATATATGTGTGCTCTGTTCAATATATGTTACACATCGAGAGCTAATCAAAAAAGTTCTTTGTAGTATCCAACTTGAGCAATGGACATTACATGGTAGCCATTAACAAGTCATTTACCCATGTTTTTTTTACCTTTTATTTCACTTAAATCTACACACACCACAATAGTGAGCCTACTAGTCAGCTACGTTTCGGGTTGCTTTCTGTAACAGAATACCCAGTCACTTGGCCATACCAGAAACAACACTATCATGCTTGTCACATGTTCTATTCCCCACATTGTCATCAAAAGACTATTGTCACTACCCCTGCTCACCTTCCCCTGCAGGCCAACGGACTAAGAGCACCCTTTCCCTGAACTATAACTGGAGTCCAGAAGTGCAAAGACTTCAACATGACTTATGCAAACTCTTCTGGAACTCTGGTCCAGCCGCAGCTAGCCTCAATTCCTAGCTAACTTCCATTTAGTTTTTTCCCACTTCCATTGCAATAACAGGAGCACTTTTAGGAGGGAAGGTGCCTCAGACTATGTGCTACAATCACTCCCTTATTTCATCCACAGGAGCTCCTGACATTTGACTGGCCGCGGCCTTAATTGTTATGGAACTATTTGGGGCATTGATCACGTGTGGTCAGTCAAAGATTTACGCCTGTGGTGTTTTGTCATCTCTTCATGGAATCCGGCTCACTATTTGGCCAACATGGGCGCTCGGATCACGGCTATCCGGAGATGTATAATGTGTGTGGGTTCCTGTATGTTTAATTATGTTTTTGGGGTGTTTTTGCGTTGTGCTCTCTATATTCGGAAGATAATTAGTTTAGTGAGCAGCAACTCAATTATCTCCCAGACACTGTTCTGTGAATAGGGACCCCATGGTCTGTATATAAATGACCGTGCTGAGCTTAATAAAACCAGTTCTTCTCCCAGCATTAAGTCTTCACTAATGTGTGGGGGGGAAAGGCTATATCACTGCTATACTCCACTGCTATCCTGAATGCTATAATCACTGACTACTGCACTGAAGGGGAAAGGACAGCCTTGACGGTGACACTCGAGACCAGGGACGTATTTGCTGCGAGGCAAACAAGGCATTTGCCTTGGGTGGCAATTTCCAGGGGACGGCAAAAAAATGCAGCCCCCAAATGCCCAGGCAAATACCTGGTTTGTCTCGATTTATGGGAGCCCAAGAGCTGGCCGGCTGGCCACCTTTAGGCTCCCCCCGGGGTAGACAGGCAGTGGTTTCCTGGGCACGACCCACAATAATGCCAAGAGCCGGAATATGACGTCATATTCCGGCTCCTGGCATCACTTTGCGGCGCGCGAGGGAGCTGAGCAGGGCGCTCAGGGGAAAGTGCTCCCTTGCTGAAAACCTAGAGCGCCCGCCAGCCGGCCTGCCTACCTGCACATTCGGCAACTTCCCTGCCCAGCAGACACACTGGACCCCAGGTGAGATATCCACCCAGCTATCCCAAAAGTAGGGAGGCTGGGTGGATTTCAATTTAAAAAAAATAATATTATTAATAGTGAGTTGGGGAAATGTGTGTGTCAGTGAATGTGAGTGTGTGTGTATCTGTCACTGAATGTGAGTGTGTGTCTGTTGGTGAATGTGTGTGTGTGTCGGTCAGTGAGTGCGTGCGTCTGACAGTGAAAGTGTGCGTCTGTCAGTGAGTGTGTGTCTGTCTATCAGTGTGTCAAATCAGTGAGTGTGTGTATGTCATTGTTTGTCAGTGTATATGACAGTGTGTGTCTGTCAATGAGTGTATACATCTATCAGTGAGTGTGTGCGTCTATCAGTGAGTGAGCATCTGTCAGTCAAAGTGCGGCCTTGACAGCAAGGGGTGGTGAAAATCTAAATTGGGGGGGGGGGAGGGTGCCCGAGTGTCATCCTGCCTAGGGCAGCACAAATCCTAAATACACCACTGCTCGAGCCCCTTAAATTAAGAGTCATATCTCTCAGGATTTGAACATTCACCACTTAAGAGCAGTGACAGATGCAGAGTCATAACTCAGGAGATGCACTGCCAGATAGACAAAAAATAATGCTTACAATATATATATATATATATATATATATATATATATATATAAATATATATATATATATATATATGTACAATACATGTGCAAACCAAAGTGGGTAAGAAGATATGTAAAATATTAATTACCCTTATGTTATAATAGATTGCAAGAAGCTCCCTTAAATTTTCTTTTAATAGACAGATTTAAAAGCAGAGATTTTAAGAACCTGTTGGCCCTTAGTATATTTAGAACTAAAATTTTTAATAGCACTACTCAGAAAGGTTTTTATACACCCTGTTCCAAATTATTATGCAAATTCTATTTAAGTGTCAAAAACTTAAATATTTTGTTTTTCAGTTTAACTCATGGATGGCATTGCTGGAGGGCTCTTTTGATCACTGAAAACAATCTCGGATACCTGTGATAATTAGATTGCCAGGTGAGCCCAATTTAAGGAAAAACTACTAGTTATGCTGACTGTTATTTCCATCAATTATTTAGGTAAATGAGAAAAATATCATTTGCATAATAATTTGGAACAGGGTGTAAATGTGGGAGATGTAAGGGTTGTAGGTTTCTCCCCAGAAAAAGTCAAAATTTTAAAAGTAATCAAACAGGGGAGACTTTTGAAATTATAGAATACATTAACTGCCAGAGCACTAATGTGGTTTGTTTATTTATTAACATGCGGGTGTGGCATTCAATATGTAGGCAGGACGAGTAGAGCTTTGAAAGTCAGATTTCTGGAACATTGTAATAATATTAAGAAAAATCTGAAAACTCACTCAGTTCCTGTACATGGCAATAACTGTCCACATTTTAAGTTTTAAACTTTATTTATGCACTGGTGTGGAGAAGGTTGTCCTTGACGATAGAGGTGGAGATTTGATTAAAAAATTAAGACAGAGAGAGGGCTTTTGGATTTTTCCACTTAAGGCTTTTACTCCAACAGGTCTGAATGTGGATTTTGATATGGCATGTTTTTTATGAAATAGATTTTTGATACAATAAATTAATGCATTTTTAATGAATTTTATAAAATTACTTTTTTAAGAATTTTATAAAATATATTTTTATAACTTTTTCTAATCCTTTTTCTCATAACATTCCTGTCCACATCTCACTCATAGCCACTCTCAAATCTTTCTCCCCCACCATAAGGACTAGTCCTTCCCCAATCTACATTTATCAATTTCCACCAAGACATCTTCCTATATTCAATGATTTTCCAGACTGGTTAATATATATATATATATATATATATATATATTATTTTTATTTTATTTTTTTGTCCTTCTAGGTTATCATTATAAGTATAACTTCCATCATTGTCATGTTTCTCTAATGTTTTTAGTCATTGTGATTATTTATTGTATTTAGCCACTTTTGGTGAGAATCTTAAGATAAAATTAGTTTTTTTAAGTTTGTCAATGTATTTGATATTGATACTATTTATATGTTTTTCTCATGCACATTCGAATTCCATTGCTACATATTCCTGAACTTTTATATGGACTTTCGTTTCGCGATCTGGCATGGTGCGTTCCACGTGATACCAGAAACCCCTTCCTGGTGATACACAAAACAAGATGTGGAACGCATATATTAAGACGTTACATCCAGGTGAACCTATTTTTAATACCGCCGTCCGATTGGCTGCAGGCACGACGGAATGGCGCCAAACTACTCATAAAGGAGAACAGAGGCGATTATGATACACCTTCAGATGCCCCTGACGAAGTCCCACTAGGACGAAACGCGTTGGGTGGAAAGACCCACATAGTACTTTCATTTTGTTTTTATTTGTTTTTTTTATTTGTTTTTTCCTGGCTGTTTCACACTTTCTGTTCCTGATCCTGAGGGATTTTCCTTCAAGTCCACGGTCGGGCAAAGGCATTTTGTTGTGATATGCTGGATTTTCTCATATATTTTGTGAGTGCAATCATAATAAATTTAATATTATTATTTTATTGGTACACTATGTGGGTGTTTTTCTCTTAAATCCCTTTCAAGGACAAGAGAGAAGAGGATAAAGCTCCTTCCATCTCTAATTTTATACATGCCTGCAATCAAATATTATCTAATGAGTGTATTTCTGCCACTAGCGCTTATTGGTGTTTAGATTTACTGCACCATTATTTTGTCATTTCTTTCTTCATCTTCAGATTGTATTTTTGTATGTATAAAAAATAATGCTTATAGCTTTTGTATTAACACCCTGCATAATTGCTGCAAGGCTACACAGTACATTTAAATATAATGTGACTGGTTTGTTTAGCTCCATATCCCTTCCTCTTAAGAAGACCTACCTCTTAAGAGGTCCATTGTGTCAGAAGGTTTTTAAAGACATGATGACACATGATTGAGATATAGAAAGAGTGGAGATGATGACAACATTTAATTTTGGAAATAAACTGAGTGTGAAATGAGAGCAGAGAACAAATGTGTCTGGGCTAAAATACATAGTGGCTGTGAAAAAGACAGGATGTGCAATAAAAAAAGTGTATAAGGAAATCCAAGTTGAGGAGAAAAATGGTATTGATAAAAAATGAAGAAAAAGGTTTCTTCTGAAATTGAAAAAGAAGCTAAACATAAATGGGTTTTGAGATTAAGAAACGGTGTACAAAGTCTGGTATGGAATGGAAGGTATGTAAGGATTGATAAAGCAAGATAGATCATTAATATATTGGAATAAGGTAAGTATAAGAGTGATCCTGCTGCAAAGATGATCAGATAAGGCATATCAATTTATTTCTGAAATTAGTAAGTAAAGTCTGAATAGGGAAAGGAAAAGGAGAGGAATTAGTATTGAAAGGAAGGATGGAGGTATGCCAAGCAATGAAAATGTTTAGTTCTATAAAACATTCTTTTTCTTTGTGGAGAAAAATGTGCCTCTTCTAAGATAGGTCACTGTATCCAATATTGGATGTGTGTAATGACAAATATTGAGTTAAGTATTTTGAGATGAAGGGGTTTGGTATTTTACAGGTCACAGATGAAACAGAGGTGTTCACAAGTGATATATGTAGTATAGTATATAATTTGCCCATCTTCATAAAGAAGATACAGTTACGGTGCTGACTCGTGGTTGTGCACACATTATATAATATCATAGTACTCTGTCACTAAATAGTGCATAGAAGGACCACAAAGAAGCAACTAATCTGTTTAGATTTGGTCACACCATCTAGCCATGCTGTGTCAGGTCCACCAATATATCAAATTTCATTTATTTGTGGGATATATAGTCTAATTTTAATAGAACGTAAACAAAGTCCAATTGAATTAAGTATGATTCCTCATCTACCTCCAGATCTAGTTGTATGGGTGAATAATTGGCCATTATATAAATGGCCGCATTGGAGACAGTATGAATAGAGGAAAAACTGATTAGTAAAGATCAAGAAAGAAATAGGGTTAAAGTGACATTTAAAAGTTTGTGGTAACTTTTGTGTGGACATAAGTAAGATTTATGGGACAAAGGATATCAGAGGTTCAGGGAAACGTGACTGTTGCAATGGGGCATGATGGTAAGATTAGATGTGAATACCCACGAAGTTCGAACCTTCACAATAAGGGATTAGCCAACATAT